TGAAACCTCCGTTTATCCTCCCGCACTACTTTTACACAAAGGTTTCTCAACATGATATGGTTATCCCAAGTGTCGGCGGTCGGACATCTGAATTCTCGCCAGGGGAAATTCCTCTGTGACATCCATTTCTTGGTTCGACTACGGATAGGTGATAGTCGTTTAGGCGACGTCCCGACGAACTCGGTTTTTGTGGAGACCATTATGAGTTCTGTTAGTGTGTCAACGAATCTTTTCGGGACTCCAGTGGATCTAGCTGCTCTTCTGGTTGTGTCCACTGTTTGACAGTATCAAGGTTGAGCAATTCTCTGTAGCTGGTTTTTAGGTTTAGGTATATTTCTATTGAGGCGTGGCAAATGTAATCGAAAAGCAGAACTGCATGGCAGCTTCGTCCTGATGGAGACGTTATTTCGACCGAGTCTACAATAAGCTCCTCGCTTGTCAATACAAAGTCCAATGTTGATGGTTGGTGGCCTGTTCCAAAACTGGTAGGATTCTTCACGTGATCACACATTGGATGTGACCCTATAAACTATGATAAATTTCGTTCGAAAGTAGTGAACAGGTTGGAGAAAAGTACAACACCTTGCGGTATACCACAGTAATTACTTAGTGTTGGGTATTCAACTCTAATTTAAAGAGAAAAGACAATCAGGGGACCGAGTGAAACGCAGGAGAAGAATACAATAATCAAACTTCACAGAGTGACTTAGAGAACTGTTAGTGAAGTGGACGACAGAAGACAGTGCATCTAAGGTAGAACTGTTAGTTTTGTATTCATAACGGACAGGATCATGCGGACTGATCAAATAAGAACAGAGACCACTAAGTATAGCACATTTGGAAAGCTTCACCTGAACATATTGATATTGATAGGACGAAAAATTTTGACAAACATAGTAGGGACAAGGAAAATATTGACGGGTCGCATGGCTTACAAGTTGAGTGGTTATTGATAGATTTATTAACGACCGATGTCACCACCTCAGTTCGTGAGCCAGATACATTCTTAAAGAGTGTAGGAGATAGACCAGTATGACTGACTGCATACTCTGCTTTGAATGTTCGGAGGTGCTTGAGAACTACTTCAGTTAACACTTGTCACAGTATGAGGCACTTACGAATGGAACAATACCGAGTCCGGTCTTCTTAGAACATTTCTCTTGACCTTGATGGAACTAGATGTAACCCTTTAGGAACGAAAAGTGATGCCCAGTGTACGTGTTCAGAGAAGATGCCTACACATGAAGCACAGTTATTGGAAGGTAGAAAACTGAACTGTAAAAATTCAACCCCGGAGCATAATATTCTCGTGAACACTGTCCAAGCAAAAAATGTTAGAACAATGGCGGGATCAGAAAAGCAGTGCAACCAGCAGAAGGATGGGCGAACAGCCGAACGTAATGTGCCTTCAGTTTGTTATAGATAAACAAGAATATGAAGTGCTTCTAAAGCTTAAAACCGAATGGCATAAATTGCTGTCAATATAAATCACATAATAGCACCGTCAGACATACAGAGATAAGTACCACTGTTAGTAAGAAATTGATACCATGAATAAAATAATTTAAGAATTAGGACAGTCTCATTAATGTGAGAATGCTGAGAACGTTATATATTTTTCACACGCTACTCGAGGTCTTCTTTTGGTATTCAAATTGCGGTAACCGATTTCTGATGTTCTGCTAAACTCGCCATAGTGCACACATTAGGTTTGAATAGTTTGCGTGCGACCACAGTTGAATGGTGCTTATATCCGCGAATCGATTCATCGTATCTGCCTGGTACTGAGTGTGCTATCCATGTGGACTGGTTTATCAGACATGCTAATGGCGATACAGACTAGCTTATATGGTCGTACAGTCACGTTGACGGAAATACATAATTGCGTGATCGAGCGCGCGCTCGTATCGCACTTAAAGGGTCACTTGTTTTACGGAATAAATGCAGTGCGATATATCAAATAGTACTTCCAAAATCAGGCAGAGACGAAATAATAAANCAGTGCCTTTAAGTGATCTGCTTCCGGTGGCCTTTAGGTCTTTACAACGGATACTTATGGGAGAATTCACTGTTCTTTCGGTAGAATGTAATAATGAGCCCAAAGAGAAAATGTAAATTCAACACGTAGGTAAATAAATGACGACAACTGAGCCGAACGTAAAAATATACCTGCTCAAATAACACATCGGGGTACGGGTATTGTGCACGATCAGACTAGTGCATCCCATCCCCATTGATGGCATCGTAACCAATAGGTTTGGATGGTGTTGGCGGAGTGGCTGAGTCGCTGTCACAGACGTGCTTTAAACCTTATGGTCCGAGGTTCGAGCCCCGCCACCGCCACCGCCACCCAACTTTGGTGGTAGGCAGCTTTGCTGTCGTCCAGTCCAATACCACACCTAACCTATCGAGGCCTTATGTGGTTCGCCACTCCAAGTCCCGGGGCTTAGGTCACCGGTTTCTATCACTGAACAGCAGGTCCTCGTGACTATGGGGCTTTCCCCGTCTGCTGCTCATCACACGAAAATGTGTAANTGATCGTAAAAATTATTCACATTAGTTACCGTTTGGAAAACACAACAATTATGCTAGCGATAAGTAGATGAAATTTGTACGTGGTAAAACATTGAAAAAAGATATCACTAATCGATATTTCATGATGAGATCCGGTAATATTCTTGAGATGACAATGTTTACCGAGGATTAAAGACGACCATCAACTCGATCAGTAGACAAAATATGGAGACCGGCGTGATCAGATCATTTGAAGGAATTGTCCAAACCAACTCACCTGATGTCGTTCAA